ACAATTTGAAAATAAAAGTATATAAAGTTGTATTGGATTTTAACCCAAAGTGCAGTATAAATACCATGAGTCCATACTGAGAAAAATTAATGATTTCTTAATTCCACAAACAAGGATAGACAACTCTCCCACAGATAAAAATTCCAGTTTATGCAGACACTCCCACTTCTAGAAAGTGGAGTCTAACTCCCTACCCCTGAAGCCATGGACCATACATCGTGACTTTCTTCCAAAGAGGACAGATGGAAAGGGGACATAAAACAATCACTTTATCACATAGACACCTGACAAGCACTACCTCAGCCACATGATCAATGAGAGCATCACCAATGATGAATTGTACTAATAGAATACACACTTGCTATGCTGTGATGAGAATGGGATTTTACATCTGTAATATTCCTCCCCCAAACTCGTAATCCCAGACTAGTCATGAGTAAAATATCAGACAAATCTCCCAATCAAGGGACATTGTTCAAAACATCTACTGAGTACTCCTCAAAACTGTCAAGATCATCCAAAACAAAGAACTGTGAAAGCAAGCTAAGAGGAACCCAACGAGACATTACAACTAAATGTTAGGGTGATTTCCTGGCCAGGATCCTGGAGCGGGTAAAACCTATAGAAATCTGAGTAAAGTGTGGGCTTCAGTTGATAATAAATAATGCATCAATACTTCCTCATTAATTGTAATAAATGTATCATATTAATGTAAGATATTAGGAATAGGGGAAGCTGGGAGAGGGCATATGAGAATTCCACTATTTTCACAAATATTATTCAAATCTTAAAGGATTACAAAGGAAAAGGTCAAAATAAAATCTATTGACAGTTTCAAAATAAAAGACACAAGGAAACTTACGGCAAAACATGCTGAGTATGTTAAAAAAGGAAATAGAAAGGAAACCAAGCACAAGCACACGGAACTTGTAGGTGTGAAACAACCCTTCCTAAATTATCTTCAGCTTTTCCTCTCCCTTAACCTTCAGTCTCATATAATAAACTAACCAGGCCTCTTCCACCACAGAAACATCTCTGGATCCAATTTTTCTCAAGCCCCACAAACACTGCCCTTATCCAAACTCATAGATGTTTTCCCTGGATATGACAAGAGCCACCGATCGAGGCCAGGTGTAGACCTAGAACCCTGTATTGCTCAAAAACCACTTTAAGACGTCTGCCAGTGTTATTTGCCACAGATGTCTGACAAGTGCCAGGCAGGGGTCAGTGTCTTGACAAAGAAACAAGGGTCCAGAGCAAAACTTAAGCTGTGCATATGTGTGTACGTGCTTAGTCGCTCAGTATGTTCGACTCTTTGTGACCCCACAGACTGTAGCCCACCCACGCCCTTGGGCTCCGGTCCATGGGATTTCCCAGGCAAGAATACCGGAGTGGGATGCCATTTCCTCCTCCAGAGTATCTTCTCACCCAGGGATCGAACCTGTGTCTCCCACATTGCAGTTGACTATTTAACACTGAGCCTCCAGGGAAGCCATGAGGAAACACAGGGACTTCTCAGAGGAGCAGAACATTCACTGAGAATCCTTAAGCCAGGGGAGTTGCCTGTCCCATCGGTGATGCCCTAGGCAAGATCAGCTTGGGAACAGTGTGGTGTGTTTTCACAGAGAGGCGGCTGCTGAAGATGCTGGATCCTGAAAATGACCTCCAGATAAGTCGGTGGGGGCAGGGGGCAGTTTGGGCCTCCTAGCAGCCAAAGGCCTGAGGTTCTTAGGTACCCAGAGCAAGATCCCACCCACACCTAACAGTCATATCCAATAAGGGGCATGAGGAGTACCTGTTATGATGGCTGTCACATGTCCATCCTGGAGTGCCCCCCCCCCCCCCCGAGGCTGTGGTCCCGGCCTTGGCCTCAGAGCACAGATGATCTCATGGAGGCCAGGGCGGCAGCTCACCTGCAGCAGCATCTCCTCCCCACTCCCTCTCCTGACCAGCCCTGGGCAGGTCAGATGGGATCTCCAGGGGCTTGCTGCTTCCACCTCTCTGGGGCAGCCGACTCTCTTTGCAGCCTGCACTCCTGGGACCACAGTGTCCTCTCCTGCCTGGTTCCTTTCCAAATCCTTGTTTGAGTCTGGAGCCTCTGGCACCTAGGAGGGCATCCTGGGTACCACCCCTGCCATCTGCTAGAGCCTGTCCTCTGTTCAAACAGTCCGACTGGCTCCTAGTTGGCTCTGCAGGTGGCTGACCAGACACCCCTCTGCCTCTCATACTCAACCTCGAAAGCCATGACCTTACAGTCACATTTAGAAGACCCTGAGGTTTCTCCAGCACGTGGGATTCCACAGGGAATGGTCTGATACACCTCAGGATCATAGAGATGTGCCCCATGCATCCGTGGCAATGATTACTACTGAGCGTCCACAAGGAGAGTCAAGTCCTGTCAGCTCCACCTTTAGCACCGTGGAAGGGGACACTGCTCTGGGACTTCCAGATAAAGATACACACATGAGGTCATCAGGATCAGGGCCTAAGCCACTCTCAGTGGGGGGGCAGGTAGGACAAAACCCAAGGCCAGGTTCTGAGGGAGTGGGGGCACTGTGGGCAGCAGGGGTGTGTCGGGGGAGGGGTGTGGCTTGTGGCTGGGGCCCATGAGAAGGATGTGAAGGATGCTCCCAACTCCAACAGGGACCTTTGCCAGCTGGTTGCTGTCCTTCTGATGGAGACCGAGCAGAACCCCGAGGGGACTCACAGTGCAGCTCAGCGGGGGTGGGGGCACGCTGTGGGTTGGGGGTGCGTGGAATTCCTGTAGCCAGCTCCCTGTGGGCAGCCTCTCTCAAGGGTCAGAGGACTTCAGTCTCTGGAAGAAAAACCTCACTCGGAGTGGTCTGTGTCTTAGTGTGTCCTGATTTGAGGATTAACTCCCAGGTGCCTGTGTCCCTTCAAAACAAATGGTCCTGACAAAAATGCTTCTTCTCAAAGTTCACTGATCACGGGTCATCACATCACCCTTCCTAAGTGAAGAGGCCTGGCAGGCTCATGTCCCCATGTGTGCAGGGAGAGAGGAAGACAAGAGGTGGTGGAGCACCTAACATCTCTCCAAATCCACACTGCCTAACAGATGCTCAACAAAGAGCAGCAGTCAGAATTTATAATGACAAAATCTCAAAAAAAAAAAAAAAAAGACAAAATCTACTATGTTTGGGGAAGAGAGTCTGAGCAGGTCACATGGGTCTTGAAATTCTCCACCTTTTCCAAGTGTCCATTGACTATGTGGCAGTGACCACATGTGTGGCCAGAATCACATCTCCTGTTCCCATTGTTCTCTGGCACTCAGCATGGAGAGCTGCCCCTTCAGCCCCTTGCACCCACACGCACACCCCACTGCAGTGACCTCACCACCTCCTTAGGCCCAGAACTCACTCCTGTCATTTGATGCCAGGCACAGCCTTAGCCTGTGAGTCTCTGCTGTCTTCACACTTCTGAACTTGCATGAACCCGTGGACGCTGGTGGATGTTGCATCTTTCCTGGCTAGCACTTATTTCTTGTGTTATTCGGATCTCAGACTCTGTCCCTCTCTCCTCTGGAAATAGCTTTGTTTTCAAGACACCTCATAGGATTGCCAGCTCAATAGGAAACGGAATAGAAAACCAGTCAAATTTGCGGCTCTGTGTGTTTTCCTCCTAGAGGTTATATTATTCAGTTTGGCTGTTAGTGTGTGTTTGAGGGGGTGGGAAACAGTGTCTTTCCTGGCTGGGAATCAAAGTTCCCAGGATCCAGTCACCCAGCAGGATTTCCCCACATTCACTCATTTCATCCCTCTGAAATCTAGACCATGCTCACAAATGGCCAAAATAAAGTCCAGATGACCAAGTCAGTGCTAATTTCAATATATTGGTAATCAGCTTTCCCAGGACAGAGAGAAGAGGGCCAACCCAGGGAATACTTGGCCATACTTCAAAGCAACATTCACCTTTCTCCAGGATTCTGAGCAGATGGTGGGGCAGTGGTAGAAAACACCTCCTTTGCCCCTGTGGTCAACAGCAATGCAACAACTGTCAGGACCCCTTCCTTTCCACCCCAGCAAGAGATCTCTCTGTGTTTTATCCAAGATGCAAAAGGACACCTCACACCAATGATTCATTTCAGACTTTCCTGTCACCCCCAAGATACACTGTCGGCAGGTCTGAGGGATGCCATCATGCAGCCTCATCACGATGACCTCCCACAGAAGGAACCCAGCTTCCCAAAGCCCCAGAACACTCTGGCTCAGACACTGACATTCCAGGGCTCCTCCTGGAGCCTCACCGCCCTGGCCCATGCTGCCTTGTTTAGTGTGACTAGGGGACTTCTCTCCACCTTCTTTGTGTGACTAGGGCTACTAGAGCATCGCTCTAGGTGCAGGGGTGTCCTGCTTCTCCTAGTGTCCCCACTACAAACCCAGCCTTTCACAGAGCAGAGGCTCCGTAAAGGTCTTTGGAATACACGAGCCAGTGAGCAGGGGGCTCAATTAATTATCTGCTACTTCCTTAAATAACCCAGGCAAATCCAAATGCACAAGAGATAATTTAGTTTTTGAAAATGACACACAAGAAGGGCAGAAGCATGAATTCTCTACAATTGTTTTTATCATCTAGTTCATCCCCCATCAATGTTACTGCTAAGTAAGCTCACTTTTCCAAAACAGTTCTAATTCCAATTCCATTGCATTCTGTTCAGGACCACAAAACACAATGGAAGAGTTTCCAATATCTTGTACAAAACAGCAAAACTCTTGTTCATGAATTGGATAAGCACAAACGCACTGTGATCAGCATCATTCGTGAAGCTAAGACACTGAAGTTTATTTAGTCTTCTATGAAAACAAGCAAAGTTTGAATTTTTTTCTAAGGAAAACAGGTGAATCTCCAAGTCATTATAGAGAACAGGAACCCAAAGATGCTATACACTGGTTCCCCAAAGTGCCCCAGGGCCTCACTTCTGAGAAGGCTGACTGCTCCGTCTTCAACCACAGAGGGAAGGATCACCTGGATCCTGCTCTGGCTCAGGCAGCCTCATCCTCCTCCCTTGCAGCCTCTGCAGACAGGGGTGGGAAGGCCCTTGAAGCCCTTTCTTTGATCCTGAGCAGAAATGCCATGACTTCCTGCTTGCTGGTCTCCGCATAGGCCCGGGGACCCCACAGGAACTCATAGCGAGCAGGGTAGCTGTAAGGCACCTGCCGGTACTCCAGGTACCCCTCCTGCACCCACACGTGTGTCAGAAGTGTCCTGGGCTCCCCAAAGACACAGTGCACACTCCCGACACACACACCCAATCTGCTGAGTGCTCCCCAGACCTTCTCCTCAGGGGCGCGGTCTCCATTCTGCATGATCAGGCTGAGGATCAGCACCAGGAGGCCGGCCTTGGGCATGCTCTGCCCACTGCTCAGCATCACATCACAGGTGAGGCCCAGGTTGGGGACCATGATGTAGATGTGCTCCCTGGGGTCCACCTCCTTCACCTCCACACCACAGACCAGCTCCAGGCAATGCGAGGCTTGGCTGAAGACCACCGGGAAGTGCTCCTGGTTATCCCTGAGGACCTTCTTCAGTATTTCCGCCTGGGAGGTCAGCTCCTTAGCTAGATACTTGAAGAGCAGGAACTTTATCAGGTTAGCTTTCATCTCCTTCAGAGCCTCTGGGGGCAAGAACTCCCCAGTGGCTACGGAGGACACTGTGAGGGAGGAGGCTGAGGCGGATGCAGCCACCTCTGCCTCAGCCCCCAAGAGCTGCACAATTCACTGGGCACTGGGCCTCGCCAGGGTCCTGAAAGTCTTCCTCGGGCTTGCTCAGCTCACTCATCTCGACCACGAGCACGATGCCTGGGATCAAACCACAGACAGGAGTGAGGCAGGAGAATAGATGGGGATCACGGGCCAGGCTAGGGGAGAGAGGGGCTCTGACTGGCCTCAGCTGAGAACCACACCCTGGGCGGTCTCACACAGGCCACTTACAGGTCTCCTTTTGAGGGGTGCTCTCAGACCTCACAGGGGCAAGCCTCCAGGGCAGCCAGTCCACTGGCTACCTGAAGGAGGAAGTGAGGTGTCTCCCCATGGTGCAGTCAGCACAGTCTGACATTTCCAGGGATGACAAGGTGGGGGATTAGGCCCTTGTGGGGTCCCCTCTGCTCTGGGATGGGGAGCTCCTGGTGCACACTCAGGGCACCCTCCTCACCTTGACTCCTGGGACTGCCTGGACCACCTCTGCCCTCTGACCTCAGGACTGGAGCCTCAGTCCTCTGCCTTCCTCTCCTGGTTCCTGGAGTCCTGTGAGAGAAAGGGAGGGGGCAGCTCTGCGGTATCCTGTGGCACAGCCCTGAGCCTTCCATGACAGTATGAGGGGTAGACTCTGCGAGGTCCCCCAAGTTGTGTGGTAGGAGGTCCCCTCACGGCTCCCTTGTAGTGCTCACCTTTCCCCTGGCACGGCCTGGTCCCTCCCCTATGGGGACCTGCATGGAAATTCTGAACAAGGTCCGAGCCTGAACAGAAAGCGCTAAGGGGCTCCAAATGCAGCAGCCGCACCTACCTAGGGTTTCCTGTGGGTCCTAGGCTGGGGAGATGCTCAGTCCTCAACTCCTCCTCACGTCCTGCCTTGCCCTCCCAGCATTGACCACAGGGGCGGGGGTCTCCTCAGTCCCCCCTCGGGTTTGGGGAGTCCAGCCTCTGCCGACCTGAAGTCTACACTGTCCGCCGGAAAAACCTCACCTCCCAAGGTCCCTAAGCCAGAGGCCAAGAATCTGCTCGCCCCGCTCTAGGGCCCCCAAGAGTCCACACAAGGGCCAGGATCCCTGTCTCCCTGTTGGGGTCTTCTGCCTCTTTCCATCCTCAAATGCAGCCTGGACTCCAGGCAGGACCGCGGACTGTCCTGGACTGTTCCGTCCGCCATTTTGAGACCGTGCCGCTTTCACGAGATCCCCGGTCTCTCTGAGACCAGCATGTGAGGAAGGCAGACAGGCAGTGTGCTCTTCTTACCCCAAGCTCTCCCAGGATCGACTACATGGGCGGGGTCTGTGGGGTTCCGTCGGTCCTCACGCAGGGTCCCCTCAGCCCTCCTTCAGGCACCTCGCCTTGCCTCTGAGCAGGACCCGGGATTCTCGGCTCTCCCCAACTGAAGCCCCGCCCCTTATACCAGGGCCCGGTCTCTCCAAGACCCGGATGTCAGGAAGTCAGACCGTGCCTGCTGCGCTCATTCTACCCCCACGGTTGCCCTGGACTGACAACAGAAACGAGCTTCTCTGACGTGTCCTGTGATTGCAGTCCAAGGTCCTCTAGTTCTCCTCCTCAGGGTCCTCAACCTGACACCCCGCCAGACCTGGGAATTGGACCACCTGAGGCCCTACCCCATATCCAAGGTACCCAGTCTGAGACCCGGATGTCAGAGAGTGAGACCACGCACCTTGGGCTCATCCTACCCCACGACCACCAAGGACCAACAGCAGCTACAGGCTTCTCTGAGGTCTCTTTTGATTGGGGTCAGGGTCCCCTCAGTCCTCCCTCAGAGTCCCCAAATTGAAACTCCGCAGGAGCTGGGCTTCTTCCCTCTGCTCACTTGAGGACACGCCCCCTTCTCCCAGGTCCCCAGTTTCTCTGAGACCTGGATGCCAGGTAATGTAGCATGTGCTCATCCACCCTCTGTGCTCCCTGAGCCTTGATGTGAGGGTCCCACCTCTGGTCAACATAGGGGGCCTCCCCGGATCTGCCAGGGCTCAAGATGAGGTCCCTGAGGGAGATTATAAGGAACCCCACAGATGCCTACCCCTGCTGTCAGCCCTGAGCCACCCTGCTGGTGGGATGAGCACTTGGCAGCCTGTTCTGACTTCCGCATCTGTGTCTCAGATACATTAGGCAACTGTCCGAAGGGGCAGGGCCTCAACTGGGCAGAGGGGAAGATCTTAGTTCTTTGGAGGGTCAAGGTGAGGATGCTGAGGGAGGACTGAGGGGACCCTGAACCCCAGAGCAGAGTGGGCTCTGGGAGGACATAGGGTGGATGAACATATGCTGCATTTCCTGACATCCAGGTCTCAGAGAGACTAGGGACCTGGTATAGGGGGCTGACTTCCTGACATCCAATCTCAAACTGGGGACCTGGTGTAGGCAGCTGACTTCCTAACATACGGGGTTCAGACTGGGGTCCTGATATAGGGAGCAGACTTCCTGACATCTGGTTCTCAGGGCGACTGGAGTCCTGGTTTAAGGGCTGGGGGCTTAGTAGGGGAGAGGAGAGAATCCGAAGACCTACCCAGAGACAAGATGAGGTCCTTGAGCAGGAATGAAGAGACCCCACAGATTCCCGCCTCTGTCGTCAGCCCTGGGAGCCCCTGGGGTGAGAAGAACACACTAGACCTGTCCTGACTTCCTGACACCCTGGTCTCTGAGAGACTGGGGACCTGGTGTGAGGAGCAGGGACTCAGGGGCGGAGAGGACAGAGCCCAAGCGAGTCGGTTTTTCCCATCAGGTGACCAGCTTTAGCATCAGTCCTTCCAATGCATATTCACAGTTGATTTCCTTTAGGATGGGCTGGCTTGACCTCCTTGCTGTCCGGGGTACTTTCAAGAGTCTTCCCCAGCACCACAGTAGTACCATTTTATACATAGTCTTGTGTATCTGTTAATCTCAAACTCCTAATTTATCCCTTCCCCTGCTTTTCCTCTTTGGTAACCATAAATTTGTTCTCTGAGTCTGTTTCTGCTTTGTAAATAATTTCTTTTGTAGCATCTTTTTAGATTCCACATATAAGTGATACCATACAATATTTGTCTTTCTCTTTCTGCCTGACTTCTCTTAATATGATAATCTCTAGGTCCATTTATGTTGCTACCGATGGCATCACTTCATTATTTTCCATGGCTGAGAAGGATTCCTGTGTGTGTGTGTGTGTGTGTGCACAAACCACATCTTCTTTCTTCTTTATCTAATCATCCACTGATGGACATTTGGGTTCCTCCATATCTTGTCTGCTGTAAATAGTGTTGCAATGAACATTGGGGTGCATGTATATTTTCATATTAGAGTTTCTGTCTTTTCCAGGTATATATTTAGGAGTGGGATTGTTGGATCATCTGGTAGTTCTGTTTGTAGTTGTTTAAGGATCCTCCATGCGGTTCTCCCTATTGACTGTACCAATTTACACTGTTCACCAACAGTGTACAAAGGTTCCCTTTTCTCTGCACCCTCTCCAGCATTTATTCTTCATAGGTTTTTATGATGATGGCCATTCTGATCAGTGTAAGGTGATATTTCATTGGAGTGCTGATTTGTATTTGAATATTAATTAGGAGTGTTGAGCTTCTTTTCATGTGCCTGTTGGCCATCTGTGTCGTCTTTGAAGAAAGGGTCTTCTTTGGAGAAAGGGTTTTGTGTCAGGGTCACACAGGCTCAAACTACGAACCGTGTTGGTTCAGGAGGCCAGCAACTGAGGTCAAGGTGTTGACTGATGCTGGTTCTCATGATGGAGGTGGAGGGTCTGTCCCATTTCTCCCCCCTCACTTCGGGGGTTTTGCTGGCCATGGTGGCCGTGTCTGGGCTTGGAGAGCTCCACCTTCCTCTTCACCTGGAGTTCCCCTCTGTGTCTGTCTGTCTCTAAATGTGTCCTTTGTATTGAGACAGCCGTCCTGTTAGAGGAGGTTCCATCTGCATGAGCTCACTTGACCACCGTCAGCTCTGAGAAGACCTTTCCTTTGTCTGTAAGGTCACGCCGAGGTACTTGGGGTTGAGACTCCAGCACCTGACTCTGAGGGGACGCGATGTTACTCCTCACACCCTACAAAGGCTCTAAAGTAAGAACACACTGGATTGTTCTAAGGATGAAAGGACGGCCTGTGTAGCTACTGGGGGTGAATCCAGGGGTGAGGAGAGCAGGCCACTAGGGTAGGAGCCAGATCAGGTGGGGCCTTGTGGGCCTGTGAGAACTGTGGCTTTGCTGTGTTCGGGGAAGGAAAGGCCCGGAAGGCCCTGAGCTGGGTGCCTCTGGGACTTTGTCCCCATCATCACAGAAACATGGAAACGGAGGCTCCCTGCTAGGTGCTGAGATGCTGTTGATGTTCAGGCCCATGGCTCTGCTCCTCTGCCTCCACCCCCCTCGAATAAACAGGGAACCCTAACCAGGTACAAGGAAATAAGTGAGAATGGAGGGGCGAGTGGTCAGGTCCCTTGCAGTCATGGGCTATCTCTCTATCCCTCGGTTCCTCCTCAGTGGTCAAATGAGGTGACAGTAACCTAGCGGGTTATTTGAGGTTTGAATTCTGTGATCCTTGCATGGTGCCATCCCAGGCCCTGGCAAGGACATGACCGTCCCAGTAGTTTCTGCTCTCTGTTCTACTCTAGGCTCTGGGCAGGGACCAGGGCATCTGCTGACAGTGGAGGCCATGGTGTGAGAAGGGATGGGAGGAAGGTGGCTCCCAAAGGTGAAGACACCCGGGAAAGATACCTGGCAGGGCGTCTGAGGTCCAGGGCAGCCCCAGGGTCGAGGCCAGATTGGTTAGCACAGATCTGCACTCAGCAGCCCTGGTCTAAGATGGGGGGATCTGCAGAGCATGGGCAGTGATGGGGCCAGGGAGCTGAGGGGTGGGGTGGGGCCCAGTGTTGGGGGAAACCAAGCGCAGGACTGTCCCTGTCTGTGCTGGGAGAGGACCAGAGCCCAGCCACTGGGCTGTGAAGCCAGGGGACCCACCCTCCCTCCTGAGTGCTCCCAGGGTTTCAACTCCCTCTTTCTTCAAACTCACCTCATGCCTCTCTCCCGCTGTCCCGCCCTCCTTCCTGACCTCCCCTCAGACTGCATGTGATGGACGGGTCCTCTGGCTCGCCAACGCCTGTCAACAGACAGTGTGGAGATGGGTGGAAGGAGTCAGCCCTCTGGGACCCTCCCCTCTGTGTCAGCAGGCTTGGAGGATGCTCAGACACGTGGGGCTGATGTCCGGCCCAGGGCTGTGAGCTTGCAGGCCGCTGTGTCAGGCTGCTGGCCCTTGTGGATCTGTGTTTCCACAGCCACGTGAGGCCCTGGGAGCCCTGGGAGATGAAGTTCAGTTGTCTGTCCTTCTGAAAGACTTATCCAGGTTTCTTCTCAAATGATGTCAAGAACCTGGAAACGTGGTCTGTGGCCTGTGCTATGCGGACCTGGCACTGTACCCTGACCATCCACATCAGGCAGCAGACTGGGAAGACGCGGTCTCATGGGAGCTCCTGGAGCAGAGGCTGAGGATGAGCCCCGCCCAGATCCAGGTCTGCATGTGGCACTTGTCTCTGTGCATGTACATATGTGTGTGTGTGTGTGTGTGTGTGTGTGCCCGGCAGAGAACATGAGAGGAACCACAGCACCCAGCCTGGGTTCCCCATCCCCACTGCCTGCAGCAGGGCCTGAGCAAGTCCCCTGACTCCCCAGAAGTGAGGCCCCACAGCAACACCTCTCTGCTGGTGAATCACTTGGGGACCTGATATCCACAGGCTCCCCGCCGGGGCCCTCCTGCTCTGACCCTGCAGCCTGCAGTGGGCAGACTGAGAACTGCCCATGTCCTGGTGGGTTCCTGGAGCACCAGGCCTCTCCCTTTCATTTTTCTCCCTCCCTCGCTTGGCATTGCCCTGAATTCCCTTGGCCGAGGTGAGCCCGCTGAAAGGCTCAGACAGAGGATCCAGTTCACCAAGGTTCCCTTCCGTAATGTGATCTTACTCTCTAGTAGGCGTGACTTTGAATCACCTTGTTCTCCTTCTGTGTCCTGTCTTTGCACACAGATCTCGTGGACATTGGGGTCACTTTGCTGTGCCCAGAAAACCTAGGTCCTGACGAGGTGGAAGAGCTGGAGAATCAAGCCCTGCTACTCGATCTGCAACTGAAGTAATGACTGCGCTTGCTAACTCCCGGTGGCTGCCGCATCCTGTCCCGGGGAGGGCTGGGAAGGACATCTTCCAGGTGGACATCCCTGATCACCTGATCCCCTTTGGGCAGGAAGCCTGTCCAGACTAGGCTTTCAAGTGGAAGGTGACTGAGAGACCAGGTCATGGTGACACTGTCCAGTCGCCACTGTGCCCTGGACGTGCTCGTCTGGTTCGGTCTGAATTGGCCCCGCCCTGTGGTGGGCTGCCCACTTGGGGCAGGGCCGGGCCCAAGACTCCTATTGTGTGCTGCTGCCCTGGACTCGGCGAGAGTCCCTGGGACTTTGCCCTTTATGAAAAAATGGCATCGCCACTCGTTTTGGCCCTGCTGGGTCTGGGTGGTCGTGAATGTGTTGTTAAGAAACAAGTTAGTGTTTTTCCCTCTATGTTCTGGTCCAAACTCCCCAGTTTTGGAAGTGTCCAGCAGGTGATGGGGGAAGGCCAGGGGCTGGGCTGAGTGTCAGCAGCCAGCGAGGCCTCGGGCACGTGGAGAGGCCTGCAGGCCCAGAAACAGGCCGTGGTTTGTCTTTGCAGGTGACCCTTGCCTTGCTGTAAAGTGTCCCTTGGCTCACAAAGTGTGTATTTGACGCGCTGCCTAGCTATTGCACGTCCAAAGACAAGGGCTGGCATTCACCACCCTTGTACTTGACTTTGGAAACCTTGTACTTGGCTTTGCGTTTGGGGTCATGTGTTTGCAAGGCCTTTGGCTGGCGGGGTCACCCTGCTTTCCAGTAGGCCTCTTGGGGAGACCCCTGGATTGGGAGCTAGAGACTCTCAACTACTGATGAGAAACTTGTGGTATCACTGGGGGACCCAGGAGGAGCCCCTTCTGCTTTAGGGTGCATGACTCATGGAAGGTGACACCCCCAAGGTCAGGAGCCTGGCTGGGCTGTCTGCTGAGTGGCAGGCAAGGCACAGGGACCGGCCCGTCCTGGGCTCGCCTCAGCACTCAGCTTGTGGGTCAGACCTTTGGCCGAGCGTGTGAAATGCTGCTGCTTCAGATGAAAATGGACCTTGAGGACTGGACTGAAGCTGGCCTGGGGTGTGGGCTTCCAGCCTCATATGGCTCATCCAGTGCCATGTGTGAATAGCATGGACAGACAGAAAGAACACAGACTCACAGTTCTTGTTCAATTCTTTATTTACTCCAGTGAAGTTTGCTTTACTTTATTGGAGCCAGAAATAGAATTTTATTACAAGGCAGTGCTCTTGAGTGTCCCTGGGGACCTGGAAGCTCAGGG